CTTTGAGTTGATCATTTAACCGTTAACTGTGCAGCTATACACCACATAGCCACTTAAGCACAGCTTTTCCTTTTTTTTAATAAACGTGTGCGTTTCCTTGCGTTTACGTGCGGCTCGGACATAAAAAGTAAAAAAAAATATATATTGAAAATAAAGTTTGTTTCCTAAGTCTTTTGTTTTTTCTTCTCTATTTTCATGTGTTTGTTTGTGTGTGTTTGTTGTAAACAGCCTGTACCAAATTTAAGGATATTGTGGATTACTTTTAAAACAACAACCAGCAGCAGTTGCTTTTAGTTCAAAGGATTATTTAATCAATTTTTAAGTTTATTTTTAAACCAAAAAACAATCAACACTATGAAGTTGATGGTGAGTAAAATAATGGAAAGAAATCTTAAAGAAAAGTGTTTTAAAAAAATTCTAGAAAAAACAAGAACAATTTAAAGAACTTTAAAGTATAACAAAAAGTGCAAAAATATGTCAAAAACCCCAAAAAATTGGAACATAAAATATGAAAACCTTTTTAACAAAAAATTTCAAAAAACTAAATTTAAATAAGAAAATAAGTGCTTTCAGAACTAGAACTTTATCATACAAATACCAACAGTTTTCCTTCTGAAATATTAGAAATTTCTATAAATAAGAACAATAATATATACAAAATGTTCTGAATAACATATCGCTGCTTTAACAAGTCTTATGTGCAAAAAGGTTTAAGTGCGTTTTTAATGATTTTCCCAAAAGAAAAGCTGCAAATCTGCTGATTTTCCTAGTGAAATGCTTAAAAAATTGCTCCGGATAATGTTTAGATTAATTTGTAAAAAGGATTAAAAGCTTTTAACTATTTAGCCAAATAAACTTAATAACCCACATAAACCTTTTAGAACACATTTTGGTTCTTAAAAAGAAGTCTTGAAACTTAAACAAGATCTAATATTCTGATCAGCAAATTGGCTTAGATTTTCAGAGCAAAATCCACTATATTTTCTATTCAAAATATCCTTAAACTTTTTATATCAAAACTATCCTTTAAATCTACTACAAAGCTTTCTAAAAAACTTACAATTTTTGGTATAAAACGTTAAAATTGCCCCAAATTTCAAATCCCTCAAAACTTCTATTACCAGATTTTTTAAAATTAATAACAATGCCAACCCCCTTCTAACAAAAACTATTTAACAAAATCTTCCAAATTTTATAGTCTTACTCAACCCAATATAAAAATTTTATTAACCCACTAAACAAAACACGAAAAAAACGTCCATAAAAAATCCTCATTTAACTAAATAAATGTTATAACATTAAAGTCATAAACATTATTTAATACTCTCATAACATAGTTAATTGTCTTTCACACACACAATAAAAAAAAGCTTCAATATTCAAATATTACAAAATTATTAATGCAATTAACAAGTTACGCCTTATCAACTTTATAAAAAAAAATATATAAAAACTGCAACATTTTTGCCTTAAAACAACTAGTTGAGATGATGTAATACATTAAAGAAAAACATATATTGTTACCAAACATGTTTGTTAAGACTTATGTAAGCTTAAGTCCTGTTTTTTAAAACAAACTTTTGTTAAATAATAAAAACTTACAAAGTTAAGAGAAAAATTGAATCCTTTAAACTAAAGACAGACAGAAAGACAGACAGACAATCAACTATAGCTTACATACGCGTGAAAGCAATAAGAGAGAAATTCGAGCTTTTTCAAGCTTAAAATTTCCTTTAACTAAAGCTTATATAAGTGTTTAAATAAGAGATAAAAGTAGCTTAGATTTCAATCAACTAAAGCTTACATAAGCGTGAAAGCAATAAGAGAGAAATTAGAGCTTTTAAAAGCTTAAAATAATCATCAGCTAAAGTTTATATAACTGTTAAAGCAAGAGAGTAAAGTAGCTTAGATTTCAATCAAAGCTTATATAATTGTAAAAGCAAGAGAACAATTCATTAGAAAGCTTTTTATCGAACTCTGATCTAAAGCTTATTTCAGTTTATGTTTTGAACACAGTTAAAACTTATAAATGGTTTGTGTTCTCTGAAATTTAAACATAATTTTCTATCAGCTAAAGCTTACATAAATGTAACAGTAAGAGCAAAAAAGCTTAGATTTTCATCAACTTTCATACTTGTACAAGCAAGAGAACAACTCATTAGAGAGCTTTTTATCTACCTTTGACCTAAAGCTTATTTCCATTTATGTGTTGAACACAGTCAAAACATATAAACAGTTTGTGTTCTCTGAAGTTTAAACTCATTTCGTAATAAAGCTTAAATTTTCATCAGCTACAGCTTACATTAGTGTAAAAGCAAGAAAAAAAAGTAGATGAGACGTCAACCAACTAAAGCTTACATATGAAGAGAGAGAGAGAAACTCATTTTTACCTACCTCTAGTCTAAAGCTTATTGCCGTTTTTGTTTTGAACGCAGGATAAACGTGTTTCAAACTGATATGAACTGAAAGTTCTAAATGAGCTCTCTGAAATCAGGAAAGCTCTTTAAGCTCTAAGATTGATTTAAAAGCTTAAAAGCATTCTGCACTTGTATGTTCTCTTTAAAAGCTCAACACCTTTCTCTCCAGTTTGCAAAAAATATTAGATGAAGATTGAACAAATGTCAATTTAAAACAGGCTTCTAAAGATAACGAAAAATAAGCTCTCCAACTGAATATATTTGTTTTCATACAAATAGAAACTTTTCAAGAGAGATAAAAAGCCTATAAAAGCTTCAATTTCAATATCTTAAAGATAACCTCTGCTTCATACTTATGTTCGCTTAAGTGATAACACTCTATTTCTATAATCAGTTTCTCTCCCTCTCTAGAACAGTGTCAATAAGTCTGAATTAGAATGTATATGGAAACTTTTCAACACGAAGCAGATATAAAGAGAGTGTTCTAAATGAGCTCTCTAAAAGTTTTAATTTCATTTTGAAAACCTATAAGAGATTACGCCTGTGCAAAACACTATAGATATGTTTGGCTATCTTAGATTAAAACAGTTCAATTCAAAGAATGCTCTTTCTATAGCTGTCAGCTTTACGCAAAAAGGGCTTTCTTGAACTCATGATCACACACGTATGTATATAATACATTCATAGTTATATAAAGAGCAAACAAAAGCTGTTAGTGAAGTAGATCAGAGTTACGCAAAAAGCTCTACGCAAAATGGGCTTTCTTGCACTCTTGATCTCACGCGTATTTATATAATACGTTCATACTTATAAAGAGCAAATAAAAGCTGTTAGTGAACACATTTTTTACTCTCTGCCTATCACAGTTCTAGATGCTTTCATTAAATTTATACTTTTTTCTTTCAAGTTTTTAAAATTTTCAATTTAAGTTAAGCAAAAAGCTCTCTTAAGAGCTTTCTTGCGCTCTTGATTATAATACGTTCACACATGTATAAAAATCAAAAAAAGCAGTCAGAGAGCTAAATTTTTACACTCTGCCTATCACTGTTCTACATCTACGTCTAATTAAATATGGACCATTTTCTCTCGGGTTTGAAAGCTTTTAGCTTTTAGATCAACCTTACGCAGAAAAGCTCTTTTAATAGCATTTCTGCACTTTTGATTTCACACGTATGCATATAATACGAGAGCTACATTGCTGCTCTTTGCCTATCACTGTTCTAGAAGTTTTCTTTAAATTTACCCTCTTTTCTCTCAAGTTTGAAAAGTTTCAATTGAAAACAGCCATAGAAAGAGAGAATGAGAGTGATAAATGATAGATGCTCTCTTTAAAGTTGCACTCTTCTCTCTCAAGTTTAATAATTTAAACAAATAAGAGTGAGAAAATCACTTCTTTTCAAGAAACAGTTTCTTACACAAAATTTATTAGTTAAAGTTTTGAAAGTTTTTTCAATAGCTCTGTTTAAAGCTTTAAAAAGTTTCAAAGCGCAATGTAATCGGCAGAGCTCTAGAGCTAAATTTCTTAGAGAGACAGTTTAATATAGTTTCTTGTAAACAGTTTTAAATTCGAAAACCAAACCAAAAGGAACCTTTTATGGAATAGAGACTTCATTTCAACAAATCGTTTCAAACTATAGCAAAACTTTTATTTAAACTTTTACGCCTTCTCCATTTTTAAACCAATAGTTATTTAATTTTTCAAGGTTTTCCACAGATCAAATTAAAAATAAATGAAATGTTTATATAATACAAAAATAAATAACATTTTCCAAAAGCTTTAGTCACGCTATCTTCCTTAAATTTGTTAATGTGAATATACCATAACAAGTAAATATTATGGGAAATTACTTAATAAACAATTAAAAATAAAAATATAAACTAAAATAAAGGAAATGTTAAGACTTTATACAAGATAAACCGTAAATGTTTAAAGTAGATTGTAGCTTGTTCTGCTGCCATTGATCTTTAAACATTTTTCCATTTAAGATTCCAAAACAATTACAACATTTGTAAAACTTCCTTAATAGGAATTTTTCTTTGCCAAGGTCAAGCCAATGATGTATGGAAAATACTACAATGATCGGTAGAGTATAACAAACTTTACAATTTAACGCAAGAGCAGACGCCAGTGTATAAGAGAGCTTTCAAAGTAGTGTTGAGAGAACTAATTTTATTTAATACAAAGCTAGATAAAGAAATCTTTTGTTAGCTTAAGTGTTTCCTTGCATAAAACCAGCGAGAGAGCTTAACTTTTTCTCTCTCACTTTAAAGCAAATTCACTTACAAACTTTACTCAAGAGAATACGTCAGTGTATGAGAGAGATTTCATAGTAGCGATGAGAGAAATCTCACTTAATTATAACTATCTCAAAAACACACATTAAGAGAGAATACAAATATGATATCTCTGATTAGATTGTTCTCTATACATGCAAAAGCTTTAATAATTTGAAAGCAACAGAGCTTATTATAAAGCTTTTTGTGAACTTATGTTTTCTCTTCTTTGTTCTCTTATTTTTTTTAAATTTTAAATATTGTTTCTCTCTTAGTTACTAAATTAACTTTTCCTTTCTCTTCTCTCATTTCCATTTTCGAACACTTCTCCAACCACAGCGAACAGCATATCTGCTCGCAGTGGTCCTACTCGTAGCCACCACTTATGCACATGCCGAAGAAGAAAAGCAAGCTGCCGGAGCTGAGGAAAAGAAAGTCGAACCGAAACCAGCAGAAGCTGAAAAATCAGCCGATGCCAACGATGAGACCACTAAGACAAAACGTGGCCTACACCACTTCGAAGACTATCATCATCACCATCATTATCCCATACATGAGGAGAAAACTTTAACGATCATTAAGAAAGTACCCGAACCATATCCAGTGGTTAAACATGTACATGTACCCGTAGAGAAACAGGTGCATGTACCCGTTAAGGTGAAAGTGCCCAAACCATATCCGGTAGTCAAGCATGTACCTTATGAAGTTAAGGAAATCGTTAAAGTGCCCCATGAGGTGCCAGCTCCTTATCCAGTTGAAAAGAAAATCCCCTATCCCGTACATGTGCCCTATGATCGTCCAGTGCCCGTTAAGGTTTACGTACCAGCACCATATCCAGTAGAGAAGAAAGTACATGTACCCGTTAAAGTACATGTGCCCGCTCCTTATCCAGTCGAAAAGAAGGTGCCTTATCCCGTTAAAGTACATGTTCATGTCGACAAGCCATATCCCGTCGAAAAGGTTGTACACTATCCCGTCAAAGTACCCGTCGATAAACCAGTACCTTATCATGTGGACAAACCAGTGCCCTATCATGTTGAAAAACCAGTACCAGTGCCCGTTATCAAGAAAGTACCCGTTCCAGTGCATGTGCCTTATGATCGTCCAGTGCCTGTACATGTTGAGAAACCAGTACCCTATGAAGTTAAGGTGCCCGTACCTGCACCCTATCCCGTTGTCAAGGAAATCCCAGTTAAAATTGAGAAACATGTACCCTATCCCGTTAAGGTGCCCGTAGAGAAACCCGTAGCCGTACACATTGAAAAGCATGTACCCGAATACCATGAGAAACACATCAGCTACAAAGAACCCGAATTCCATTACAAGAAAATCGAACATCATGAACATCATGAACCCATCTCTCATCATCAAGAGGAATATCAAGGACATGAAGGACATGAGGTGGATCTAAGCCATCATTTTTCTCATTCTTATCATGGTCATTATTAAGTAATTTTTAACTAATATCAAAATCTTTTTTTTTTCTCTTTTTTTACTCCCTTTACAGCATCACAAGTAAACGTCTGATATCTCCCACATTTGCAAAATATTTTATAAAAAAAAAACAAAACAAAGAGAGAGAGAACTTCAGAGAGCGTCATATGTGATTTTGTGATTGGTATATAGAGAGAGACTGAGAGTATAAAGAATAAAAGAGACGGACTTAAAAAAATAGTTAGTGTGAGAGCGAAGGCGAAAAGTGAGAGCGAGTGAGAGATTGTTAAATGAAATTGATAAATGCTTACGTTTAATGGATTAACGATGTGATTAAATTGATGTAAATGTATGTAATTAATTATATAAAAAAACTAAGTGATAAAGGCCTCAAATTAATTAACGGATTTAAGTTAAATTTATATAGAAAAAAAAAGAAATTTACAAAAAAAAAATCTATTATATATTATAAGTATATAATGTAGACTCTTAACTCAATTTTGTTCCATTAAGGGTCTATTGGCTTAAATAACACTCTCCTTTTCGTTAATTGCAACAACCTTTTAAAAACATTTTAACTTTGAAATTAACCCCCCCTTACCATATAATATTATAAAAAAAAAACGACCGATAACTAACCAGAACATGTAACCTATATATAAGTTTTTATAATTTTCTAGATTTTAAGCCATAATTGTTTTTCTTTTTTTATATAGCAAATGTTGTATATTACTTATGTATGTATTTTTTACTTTTATATGAAAAAAACTACAAAAAAAATATTATAAAAAAAAAGATGTCAACTTGGCACTAATTTGGCAGATCAGTTACGTGCAAAAATGCCCACAACTTCTTCTCTTTTTTAATGGGCCTCACAACATCTGGCCACTTAACAGCTCCTCCTCTTCCTCCGTGTTAAATTTAAAAAAGTTTTGAAATGGTTAACATTTTTAACGTAGTTAATCTCCTTCGTGCCGTCCAGTGTTCATAATTGTTTGAAAAAAACCAACAACAACAACACACACTCTATATAATTTATAAGACTTGTGTATAATTTTTAAAATAATTTTAAAGAGATTTATTTTAATTGTTTTTTTTTTCCTTTCCCCCCCTCAAAAGGTTAAAAAACATTTAAATAATTTTTATTTTTTTGTTTATTATTTTGTTAAATATATTTTTTTTAGCTTAGTTTAGCTATTTATTAGCTTAATCATAATTTTTTATATTATATTATTAAAATGTTTTATGTATAGTTCTTTTTTTATATATAAAAAACAAATTGTATTATAATTATTGATCATCATCATTTGTTAAAGCAACTGTACAGAAACACTTGATATATATATATAAAGAAATTTCTATTTTACCAAATATTTTTTAGTTGTGAAAACAAAATGAAAATAACTAGAAGTATGAAGAAGATGTATAAAGAAGAAGGATGTATAATATTGAAATAAATGATTCAAGTAATTGAGATTAAAAAACACAAACGAAAATTTTTTAAAATGAGTTTTATTTTAATACGAAAATCAAACAAACAAAGGGAAAATGAGAACAACCGATTGCTTTAGAACAACAGTAGTTAAAGAGCTCTCTCTTGCACTTACACATGCATGAGTGCTTACACATGCATTATTAATAAAGTAATACATAAACAACAAACATAGAAAATGATAGAATATCAAAGGCCAATAACTCTAGCCATCACGATAGTTTTAGATCAGAGCTAGGCAAAGAGAGCATTCAAAAGCGTAAGAGAAATCAAACTTACATAAATAATAAATAACCAAAAATAATTATAGAACTGTAAACACCTCAGCTGCAGGTTTGTTTTAGATCGAAGATAGGCAAAGAGGTGATGCATAAAATGAATTTCTCTCTTAGTTTTACACAAACGTAAACACACACATGCATAATCAATACACAAACAAACTCAATTAGAGAGCTCACTTTAACAATCAATAATCACCTGATATACTTAACGTCAGTGGTAGGCAAGGAGCAATCTTGTACTTGAACGTTTTGTGGGCCATATAAGTAATTAAAACTAACTAACTAACTAACTAACTAACTAACTAACTAACTAACTAACTAACTAACTAACTAACTAACTAACTACTAACTAACTAACTAACTAACTAACTAACTAACTAACTACTAACTAACTAACTAACTAACTAACTAACTAACTAACTAACTAACTAACTAACTAACTAACTAACTAACTAACTAACTAACTAACTAACTAACTAACTAACTAACTAACTAACTAACTAACTAACTAACTAACTAACTAACTAACTAACTAACTAACTAACTAACTAACTAACTAACTACTAACTAACTAACTAACTAACTAACTACTACTAACTACTAACTAACTAACTAACTAACTAACTAACTAACTAACTAACTAACTAACTAACTAACTAACTAACTAACTAACTAACTAACTAACTAACTACTAACTAACTAACTAACTAACTAACTAACTAACTAACTAACTAACTAACTAACTAACTAACTAACTAACTAACTAACTAACTAACTAACTAACTAACAACTAACTAACTAACTAACTACTAACTAACTAACTAACTAACTAACTAACTAACTAACTAACTACTAACTACTAACTAACTAACTAACTAACTAACTAACTAACTAACTAACTAACTAACTAACTAACTAACTAACTAACTAACTAACTAACTAACTAACTAACTAACTAACTAACTACTAACTAACTAACTAACTAACTAACTAACTAACTAACTAACTAACTAACTAACTACTAACTAACTAACTAACTAACTAACTACTAACTAACTAACTAACTAACTAACTAACTAACTAACTAACTAACTAACTAACTAACTAACTAACTAACTAACTAACTAACTAACTAACTAACTAACTAACTAACTAACTAACTAACTAACTAACTAACTAACTAACTACTAACTAACTACTAACTACTAACTACTAACTAACTAACTAACTAACTAACTAACTAACTAACTAACTAACTAACTACTAACTAACTAACTAACTAACTAACTAACTAACTACTACTAACTAACTAACTAACTAACTAACTAACTAACTAACTAACTAACTAACTAACTAACTAACTAACTAACTAACTAACTAACTAACTAACTAACTAACTAACTAACTAACTAACTAACTAACTAACTAACTAACTAACTAACTAACTAACTAACTACTAACTAACTAACTAACTAACTAACTAACTAACTAACTAACTAACTAACTAACTAACTAACTACTACTAACTAACTAACTAACTAACTAACTAACTAACTAACTAACTAACTACTAACTAACTAACTAACTAACTAACTAACTAACTAACTAACTACTAACTACTAACTAACTAACTAACTAACTACTAACTAACTAACTAACTAACTAACTAACTAACTAACTAACTAACTAACTAACTAACTAACTAACTAACTAACTAACTAACTAACTAACTAACTAACTAACTAACTAACTAACTAACTAACTAACTAACTAACTAACTAACTAACTAACTAACTAACTAACTAACTAACTAACTAACTAACTAACTAACTAACTAACTAACTAACTAACTAACTAACTAACTAACTAACTAACTAACTAACTAACTAACTAACTAACTAACTAACTAACTAACTAACTAACTAACTACTACTAACTAACTAACTAACTACTAACTAACTAACTAACTACTAACTAACTAACTAACTAACTAACTAACTAACTAACTAACTAACTAACTAACTAACTACTAACTAACTAACTAACTAACTAACTAACTAACTAACTAACTAACTAACTAACTAACTAACTAACTAACTAACTAACTAACTAACTAACTAACTAACTAACTAACTAACTAACTAACTAACTAACTAACTAACTAACTAACTAACTACTAACTAACTAACTAACTAACTAACTACTAACTAACTAACTAACTAACTAACTAACTAACTACTAACTAACTAACTAACTAACTAACTAACTAACTAACAAACTAACTACTAACTAACTAACTAACTAACTAACTAACTAACGAACTAACTAACTAACTAACTAACTAACTAACTAACTAACTAACTAACTAACTAACTAAGTAACTAACTAACTAACTAACTAACTAACTAACTAATTATCTAACTAACTAACCTTACCTAAATCTTTAGCCGGAACTTTTTTGTTACTCAAATAGTACTTTTTCGTACTTTTTATCTCTAAAATGGGACTTTTACAATTCTTCTTTAAAAATATGAACTGAGATTTTTATAACCTACACGACTATAGTAGGGAGAGTATTATGCGTTTCTACTGATGTTTGTAGCGCACAAACATATTGGTCTTAAACCCAACATTATATAAAGTATACAGATGGAATGGTTGAAATCGCATCATTAACCTATCCCCCATACAAATTGACCTTCCGATTTGGTGTTCTTAGGTCTTTATTTTTTGAGTATCGACCCATTTTTATACCCTACACCACTTTAGTATGGCGAGTATATTGGATTTGTGCTGTTGCTTGTAACGCATAGAATTAATGCTCCTGTAAGTATACCAATCGACTCAAAATTATTCGTTTTATACAAGCATAAATGATACTGCAAAATTTCGTAATGAACGGCCCTTTTTTAACCCCTTGCAAAGTCCCCCTCTTCAACATAAATGCATTATTATTAGAAATTATACACATTTTAGATATACTCATAACTGGTATAGAGTATCATATGGTCGGCCTCATCCGACTATCCTTTTTACTTATTTCCATATAAAACCTTGTTTTAGAAAAATTGTTCAAACCCCGGTTATGGTAGTGTTAAAGAAAAAATACTACGTTGTATTTAAATGACCCTGTATCAATGACATATCATCTTATTATCTTTTATTTATATATAAACAATGAAGTTACTATTTTTGTAAAAGATTTTGATTTTATGGTTTAATATATTTTATTTATAAACTCGATAAACTCATCTATATTTTGCACTATTAACTCGTCTATAGTTTCGTCTATAGTTTCGTCTATATATTCGTCTATAGATTGGTTTGTAAGCCAGTCTATAGACGAGTGTGTAAACTCGTATATTAACTAGTTGATAAAGTATTCTATAGACTCCTCTATAGAATTGTCTTTAAATTCGTCTATAGACTCTTCCATAAAAAGGTCTATAAAGTCGTCTAAAATCTTATCTAAAGACACATTATAATATCGTCTACAGACTCGTTTATACACTCGTCTATAGATTCTTTAATACACCAGTCTATATACTCGTCTATAAACTCATTTATCAGTAGGTCGATTCGTCTAAAAACTCGTTTATTGTCTGCACTATAAACTCGTCTACAGTTGCTTGCACTGAGTTATCTATAAACTCGATTAAAATCTCGTATGCAAATTATAAAATTGTTCTCGTCTATTAAATCGCCTATAGACTTGCCTGTAGACTAGTAGCCTAGTCTATAAGCACGTCTATTAACTTACCTACAGACTCGCTTATAAGCTTGTCTATAAACTCGTCTATAAACTCGAAAATAAACTCGTCTATTAACTCGCATATAGATTCGAATATAACTAGTCTGTTGACTCTTCTTAAACTTCGACTATAAACTCGTCTATAAACTCGACTATTAACTCGACTATAAACTCGTCTATAGATTCGTCTATAAACTTGTCTATAGACTCATCTATAAACTTTTCTATAGACCAGTCTATAAACTCGTCCATAAACTTGTCTATGACTCGTCGATAAACTTGTCTATGGACTCGCCTATAAACTTGTCTATAGACTCGTCTATAGAATCGTCTATAAACTTGTCTATAAACTCATCTATAAACTCTTCTATAGACTAGTCTATAAACTCGTCCATAAACTTGTCTATGACTCGTCGATAAACTTGCCTACAGACTCGCCTATGAACTTGTCTATAGAATCGTCTATAAACTTGTCTATAGTCTCATCTATAAACTTTTCTATAGACTAGTCTATAAACTCGTCCATAAACTTGTCTATGACTTGTCGATAAACTTGTCTATGGATTCGTCTATAAACTTGTCTATAGACTCGTCTATAGAATCGTCTATAAACTTGTCTATAGACTCATCTATAAACATTTCTATAGACTAGTCTATAAACTCGTCCATAAACTTGTCTATGACTCGTCGATAAACTTGCCTACAGACTCGCCTATAAGCTTGTCTATAAACTCGTCTATAAACTCGACAATAAACTCGAAAATAAACTCGACAATAAACTCATCTATTAACTCGCCTATAAACTCGTCTATAGATTCGAATATAACTAGTCTATTGACTTGTCTTAAACTTGTCTATAGACTCGTCTATAAACTCGTCTATTAACTCGACTATAAACTCGTCTATAGATTCGGCTATAAACTCATCTATAGATCCGCATATAAACTTGTTTATCAACGTGTCTATTGACTC